AAAGAACGGGGGGGACCGCAAGGGAAGGAAAGGTGCGGCTAGAGATGAAGGTAGGGGTAATCACCACCTCAGGCGAGATATAGGTGGAGCACCACTCGTCATAGGATACAGACCTAGAAGGAAAAAAAGGAAGTCGGCGGACGTTCTAAACAAAACTCACTACAAAATTGAAAACCTAAAATACGAAAAACAAATATATAATGCTAGGGTAAGTAGGACTGGGCCCCTCTACTTGAAAGAAGCGGTAATCACTAATGAGGAGATAGCTTGCTCTCAGAATTTGGACCAAACTGGATACAAGTAAGCTTTTGGCTCCCCTTCTCGTGAAATCTCGCCCCTCGTTCGTGACGCCTCGCTCCAGACATCCACATCAGTCTATCGGAGTTGGGAGAGCTTCGACCTCATCAGTCGAAGTTTTGTCTCCTCATAGTATGACCTCAAGTCAGCCGCGTTGACGGTAGCAGAACTACTGTCTTTCGAAGCATCGAGATCCCACTGCACCCTGCTCAGTGAAGGACAACTCGGCTCGTCGGGCAACTGGAAATGATGTGTTCAAAATCATGCCATACGAATCATTTTTTGGTTGGGATTATATTGGAAGTGTTGCGCTTCTTAGGCTTTTTCTCACTCTAAGCAGCTTTATCATCCTACTGACCAGACTTTTCAATTGCCTTAGGTGAGCTCCTTCTGATGTCTCCCACTATGGATGATTGCCTGAATGGCAGTGGGTGTCTGCTCTAGTTCTATTTTTTCTCCACCTTCAGTGCTAAGATCTAAATGTCGCTCAAAAATCAATAATGTTGTAGCTAAACTATGTTGTTGATGGCGGGCTTCAGGTATCCCAAATGCTTGGCTATCGTGTATTCCCATGGCTCCGTTAGAACATACTTCAGCTTTAGCTGCATAAACTTTGTTATATAATCCTCCACTGATAGGTCCCACTGTTGTAGGTAGTAGAGCCTCAAGAAAAGATCATGATGGTAGTATGGAGGTAGGTACTATCACTTTAACTCTCTCTTCATCTTCTCCCGGGCAGTAAACTTGCGCCGTCCTTCTCTATTTCTCTTGTTTTTTAGGTTCTCCCACCGCAATGAGGCACTTTTCTTCAGCTTAATAGCAGCTAGTTTTACTTTCAGGCCATCTGACTCCTTGTATTCAAAAATCCTCTCGACGGTCTACAAACACTCAACAAGATCATTCAGACTCATTCTTACCTCAAATCCAGTAGATCCACTTTCATTCCTAAGCATACGTATCCTCCATAGACACTTCATCTTTATATCTTTCAAAAGGCACTTCATCTCTATATCCTCTATCAGAAATTTCATCTTCGTATTCTCCAACAAACACTTCATTTCTTGGCCTCCTTTGATACTAAATCCTAAAGCATTATGGCCGGCTTCTTCTCCACTAAAATCATCCCTAAAAATTGCACTTGGAGATGATTTACGGGATCTCGAGGTTTCTCAAGAAAACTCCAAGTTATGGATTAATTTTTTAGAGAACCATACAAAGAGAGGTAGAACTTTACATCGATGAAAGTTGGGCTGGGAAACTCACTAACAAAAAGTTCACCACAAGTTCTTGCTCATGTGTATAGAGAAATTTGGTCACATGGAGAAATAAAAAGCAAATTATTATCTCTAGAAGCAATGCAGAATCAGAGTATAGGGCACTTAAGAATCTGTGAAGGGATCTGAATTCAGAAATTGTTGAGGGAATTGAGGTGTACCTCTTCTAAATTTATACAAATATTTTGTGACAACCAAGCGGCTATAAGTATTAGCAAGGACAAGTGCATCATGACAAGACCAAATATATTGAAATTGATAGACATTTTACTTCAGAAAAAGTTAATGGTGGAATTATACAGCTAAGTTATATCCCGACACATAAACAAGTTGTTGATGTCTTCACCAAAGCTTCTTTAAACAACTTCTCGGAGTTTAATACCAATCTTGGTCTCTCCAACATCTACGACCCAACTTGAGGGGAAGTGTGGAAATCTAGGAGGATCGAGCTCCTTTCCATCATAGACCCAATCCAACCATCCAAGGAGTGATGGATGGATTAATATTTGGAACTCCTTGATTCATTTTTTTCTCTTCCTATTTATATTTATTTCAGAGTTATTTCCTTTCCATGTTTACGCTGACATATTTGGTAAGATTATAAAATAAGAGAGATTGTTTTTCCTATATATGCAGTCTTATGGTTGAAAATTGGTAAAAAGAACTAAGTAAGAATTCTCTCCCATATTTTTTTTCACACAAAAAAATAAATAAATAACCAACCACTAAAAAAGATCATTAATAATTTTAAATGCAGTCTTCTATTCATCCCAATCTAATAGAAATCTGACGAACGACTACTCACATATAAGTAGACAAAAGAACGACATCTAAAAAAGTATCAAAAGTATATGAAAAAGCTAATAAAAATTTATAGTATAAAAGGACACGTGGAGATGGGCTTATTATAATAAATGGGGATGGATGTTGATTTTTAATCAGAAAGAAGAGTTGAGAAAATCAATCAGAGCTTCAATGAAATCCTAGTGGGAATCATGATACGCTGACATCACAATTATTCAATAACATAAATTTGGCATCAAATAAATAAGGTGTAATGACCTCACGCTTTTAATCTCAATAAGATACAAAGCAAGATTAACTTCATAATTTAGGCTTGAACTTAAAGTTGCTGATAAAGAGTTTTGAAGCTCAAGTAGCTAGCTTCTCATCCTAGTTAGCTCATGCTCCATAATATCTTACTTTTGGATCTACAATGTCCTCTCCATATTCCAAAATCTGGTGTTATTCTTTCTAATGGTATTTAAACTTTTAAAATAATCAACTATTTCTTCAAATGCATTGAAATTTTACATTATGAAGGTGAAGGGAGACCTTACATTCTTTTGGGTTGTTCTCAACTAAGAATCATTGTAATTGATACTGACAGAGGGAAAAGCAAAAGAGTGTTGGCTAAGGTGGATTATTTCCACTTCATTGCTCATCTTCCTTCTTCAACAAGGCATCAGAGCCTGGAACCCCTCTACAATTTATTCTAGCATAAATAGCTCTTCTTCCTCCTTAACTTGTGCCATCTCATCACGCTCTTAAGGGTGGTCATCTCAATTAACTTGTGCTAAAAGAAGCTCAACAAATTTTGGAACGGGCACATTAATGATAACATCAAGATTAGATCCCTTCTTGGTACTGGTGAAAATGATGGCTTAAGTTGATCTCCTCCATACAATGAGCTTAAGAAAATAAATTATAGACTTTTCTCCCACAACCAGAAAAGGAATTAGTAAGTTGAAGTCACCATAGCTATATAGAACAAGGGATTTGTACACAATGACCAACCCTACAAATCTTAACCTTTTGTCGCTTAGCCATTAGATCCTCATCAGTACATTAGAAAAACAGTCTATGATAAACAAAAAGAACCTCATCACACTCATCACATAGCATTCATCGGAGAGATCACCTAGTATTACACATCAGAAAATCATTAGGCCACTCAAGTCTATTGGATGCTAAACATCCATCAAGTTAATTAATATCAAGCAAAAGACCTACTATGTAGTACCAATCAGTTGTTTTTGTGTAATTTTGCAACTTAAAATAAGGGATTTTGAGGATTGCACCGAGAGGACCAACAATCAGGTAACCAAGAGCATACTCTCTCAATTTCCATGCCTGGGATTTAGAGATGTTAAGTGCATGCTCATTAATGAAAGTAGATGAAGAAGTAATGTTTGCTATAAAAATATATACCACTTCTACGAAATAAATAAATAAAATTGTAAAAAAGATACAAAGATGTATGACAATCGCTTAAATAAAGACTATTCCAAGAAATCAAAGCCTTCTTTTAAAATATAAATAAAAGGATGCATGTTCAATCCTAAAAAAGGACTTCTTGTTTCTCCCATAGGATTGTTGTTCTCTCTAATCATTTTAAGTGATACCAAATGCTGACTTGCCCGTCTTAGTTCAATTTATTACCAAAATCATGGTCATGAAATTAAATGTTAAGATCTACAACAAATAAGAAAAAAAAAATGAACAGGAAAAGCTGACAACAGAAAAGGTTTTTCTTAAATAGCAACAAAGAAAAGAAAATATCACATAAAAATTTGGTTCAATGGTCATCTTGTGCTTGTGAGCAAACCAAAGCTGCCACTTTGCCTACAGTACCATTAATTATGTTTCTTATATTAGCACTGCAGATAATTCCTATAAGTGGTGAGAAGAATATTAAAAAGTTCTTAAAAATCTTAAATATATCACATTAATTTGAGCTTCGGGAAGAAATACCTCCACCCGAGCTAAGAAGGATGGAAAATGTATTGAAGAGATCACTTGGCATCAAGAAATATCTAAAACAGTTTTAATAAATGAAGAGTAATATATACCTTTGGCTTCCATACTTACGGAAGGCTTGGGAATCCTAGCACCTGCTTTCCTCCCCAAATTAATTTGCACGGATATGCTTGCCTGTGAAAGGTCTATACCAGAGTTCTGTAAAGCTTCGCTTATATTATTTAAAAGCCTGGAAGATATTAAACATATATTACTAATTCATGACAAATTTAACTTCAAGCTCATAAAATGTGCGAAAAATTAAAAGTGAGAATACACAAAGTCCCTAGAATACAGATTTTATCTATTTGACACTTCTATAAAGCCAGCCAGGTGTATGAGGCTAAAAAAAAGGTAAGCTTTTACAATTCATTGCATAAAGAAACAATGACATTATAAGTGCAAAACATAATAATAATAAAGGTGTAGTTCTTTACTTCAAGAAGGGGGATAACAACATTAGCACATACCCTTGAGAATAGGCACAGGACACAGAAATTGTTCCTTCATCAACTCTCAGTTCTTCGTGTTCATTTAATATGTCATTGCTAATTGCACAATCTCCAGGGCTTGATGGTCTCATCCATTGAGACTGCGATGCCAAGTTATCTGCTTCTGTAATCAGCGTTTGGTCAGTGTGGACAAGCCCAGGTTCCCTTCCTACAGGGTACAAACTTGGCTGCAATGAAGAAAGAGAAGCAACCACCTTATTTGTAAAATCAGAGTGGGTTTCCAAGTTCTTGTAAGAAACACTGGTAATTAACTCAGACTCTATTGGATTTAGTGAACCCGGAATTCCATTGTCAGATAAAACAAATCCAGGAGCAAAGCCGTTCTTGATGATTGGAGCAGCACCTAAGTTATCACCAGAATCTTGGTGATTGTTCTGTTCCACATAAAGAAAAGTAGACAAATTGGCACATCAAGCAAGAATTAATCATACATGACTGTGCAGAACATGCATTCAAATGCATGATATAGAACAATTCCTTAAGAGAATTAAATAACAAATACCCAAGAGCTTATCCAATCTTAAGTAGACTAACCTTCCTAAAACCAAAAAGAAATTGATAATTTTTTTCCTTGAAGGACAATTATACCTAAGACTTTCAGAGCACTTAGAGAGCTCCAAGGCTACTTTTGATTAAACAAACAGAAAAACAAGTGGATAGATAATTTTAAGTTCATATGTGGACACATTAATTTAAGTTCATATGTTATTAATAAGCAAAAAAAGAAAAAATAAATGAATAAACACATACAATACAACTTATAATTATGATAACAGGAATAGAATGAAGAATAAGCAAAATACAATGATTCATGGATTCATTTGTTAGCATTCATATGTATGAACATGCATATATCAGTGTGAAAGCCATTTCCAAAGCAAAAGAACATATCGTCAGGACTTCCAAGTTTGTAACTTCTTTTTTGTAGTAAATCTATGTACTAGAGTTTAAAAATTGTTTTTGCTAAGAAAATTTTATATAAGAGAAGAAAATTATTTTCTCTAATAAATAAGATATGGAAAATATTTTGGTGCATGTTGATGATAAATGATACCGAGTTAACCCAAATCACAACAGAACAATGATACTATTGCTGAAGTGAAGAGCGTTTTTTCTGTCCGAACTCCTGACGTAGCTCTACGTGCGGCGTAGGTTATTCTTAATTTATTTTCAGGTTATTTCTGGGTTATTTTCAATAATACTGAAATAACCCAGAAATACCCCAAAAATAAAGACCGCGGGTTATTTTGGTATTATTGAAAATAACCCAGAAATAACCTGAAAATAAATTAAGAATAACCTACGCCGCACGTAGAGCTACGTCAGGAGTTCGGACAGAAAAAAAATTTTTGAATTCAAACAGACAGTCACAAATAGAAAAAACAACACCTAGGGCAAGGTTCGAAGTTGGTGATTGCGGTTCCAAGGGTGAAACTGAGAGCTAGCGGTGGTTGAGTGGTCGAGTGGCAGCTACAAGAAGGCTGACCTGTAGCCAGACAGCAGTGGGGAAGTCGAAAGGGAGGAGGGAAGGTGGTGGCAGCAAGGGGAGATGGGGGTTGAAGAGCTATCTGGAGACTAGACAGCAGATTAGGTGGTTGTGAGGGAGCCTAGAAAAAAGACAGTGGTAGGTTGGGACAGCTGTAAGGAAGGATGGGAAGAAAAGGGGAGGGGAAAGCAGGTGGCAAGGAATTGTGGGCTGCAGGAAAATCATTAAAGGGGCTGTTTTCCAGTTGCCGCAACAAATACATTGAGAGCGGAGAAGAAAGAAAGGTTGTTGGAGAAGGGAAATCGAGGATAAATGTCCCCACGGGATCGAACTATAGCTGGAGCACCAATCAATCCTTGGGAGAAGGTCACCACCTCGAACGAGTTACAAGCGAAGCACCTTTTCGCCTTCTGATACAACCCTATTAGGAAAACATCGGAAGCCGACGACTGTCCTGAAAAGAAATACACCCCAAAATTGAAAACCTAAACACGTGAATCAAATATATAACCTCTAGGAAATTAAGATTGGGCCCATTATTTAAAGAAGGTGCCAAATCCACATAAGGGTGGGTCGAACCTCAATTCGGTGCTCTGAACGGTCTCTGGTCGCTGAGAGGTTTTCGCATCTGGTCCAGTTTATGAAATGGTGGCGGGACTTTAGCATGAGTCGCAGAAATGGAAATGGTCCTGTAAGGAGCTCCTACGTCAATCTCTCGAGGTTGAGAGAGCTTTGACCTCATATGTCGAAGCTTATATTTTTTCATAGCAATCAGGTCAGCTCATTTGAAGGTACCGAAAATGTTGCAAGCTCCCGGGAAGTCAAAAATGTCGATGTTATCATTCCAAAGCACATCCTAAGAATAAGTATCCATCTACTTTTGGTACAACTTAGGATAAAGCTTCATAACGATGTGTATTTTCTCATGAGTCAAATTTCGAGCAAGTAAATCTATAATCTATTTTTTTCATTGTTCGTACTCAACTGGATGTATATCTGATAAACAAATTTGTTATAAGGAATCAACTTTAGAACAACATTTATGGTAGGTTAGGCCACACGAAAATGTAGCCACTTAAGAGAAGTCTCTTCTTCTTCTCAGGTAGGACTTGGGTCTCACTATAGAATTTTCTTCCCCGCTAAGCTTCTAAGACAATTTTTTATTTTGTAGTTCATCCATCCTATCTAGCCATCAATTTGTGAGGAACACTATTTAACTGAATCTAATATCTGAATAATTCCATATAATCTTCCTGAGGTGACACAAAAAAGCCTCATCTTTGACATACGAGAGAGGCAACTCGAGGAGTTTATATACATGAAAGGTATGACTTTCTCTTATATGGGGTTTTAATGTTCTGGTGTCGATTCCTAGAACTCACGATCGTCTTGGACATCCAATATCAATCCTACCGATGCTCCTCTCAACGCTTGCAAAAAGGTGGTTCGTAGCATCATAACATCAAACTCTGCATGAACGACCATTAACTCGGATTCACTATCCTCTAGAACAGCCTTAATTAATCCAACTGAAATTTATCTCGTTGGGTCATCTTAAATCACTAATGTCTCTACCTTGTCGACTGACAGTTGAGGATCCTCTTTGAAATATTCATCTTCACCCGGATTACTGTTTGTGCCTTCAATTGCTCCTTGATCAGTGAAAGAGATCATTCTCTTGATTGTGCAATCTAATTCAATATGTCTAAATTCGTAGCACTTCAAAAATTTTCATACTGGGATAGATTTAGGAATACAGGTTTGTTGCACTTGTTCTCTACTCTGAATCTGTTTTTCCTCAAGCATGGTCAACATAGATGTCCACCTGTGTGTACACTTGTTATAAGAGTTTGGGTTTGAACTCTGCCTGAAAGATTTGATGATCGTCGAATGATATGGTCTCTCCACTTTTGAAACTGGGGTCGGAACATCCAGTCTACATGAGTTGGTAGGAGCTGACACTGCATCTCCCATCTCATCTTGGATCAAGTAGTAATTTTACTCTTCTCTTTTAATTATAGAAGAATCTTCAAGTTTACCCACCACTGAAACATACTTTTTCTCAACTTGCTGAAAGCTAGTTTCACCATTATATACAGTGGGTCGACCTAGAACTCAAAAACACATTCCAATGTCCAACGCCACTCGATGATTTCGTCTGAATCCATGTGGCCATCGAAATATGGTAAGGCCCCATTTGAAGCAGCTATAACTGCTGGGGGGG